ATGAATATCTGGAGTATCATAATTTAAAGGTAACGCTTCAACACATGAGTTTACATAGAAAAATATTCAAATTTTATTTTTTGGCTTAAAAGACTCTACGTTGAAGACAGTGAGAAATAAAGGCATAACTTTTTGTCAATTTCTATCTGTTCTCTCTTCTGTTCTCGGCTCCCAAACAGAGCTTGGTCCTCTTGCTCCACACCCCTGAGCCCTGGGGTCGAGCCCCCAGGATTTATGCCTATGACCTTGCACTGTCTATTGACATTATTTTACCTGTTAGAAGAAATTATATTTTTGGTTGAATTATGTGTGACTGAGACCAAACCTGATTCGCAGACGTGTTCTTTTTCTGCATACTTCTTTCCAGGGGGTTAAATAATATTGAGATTTCAGCATTAATCGCAAAGAGCATTATATTTGAATACAACCTTTTTAATATTAGTTTAATTCAACAACTAAAACAGTTCTTAATTGGGTTGCTCATTGCTAATACCTGAGCAAATTTGGACTTTTCTAATAAACCCCCCTCTCAGTGGGGGGTTGAAACACTTTAATTGCAGCTATGTTCTGTAGGTTGTTCATGTAAGACTCTGTCAGCAAAGTCATGATCTTAAAATCATCTTTGGAGTGAATGTGAACGCAGTGCAACTGCAATGGCTATTGCAGTTTTTCATTGTACCTCAATGAAAAACTCAGCAGACTTAGTCAGAGGCCTTGAAGAAGCACTCTAAAGAAGACATTCATAGTCGGCTTTGTTAAGTGAATTGCAATAATCAATACAAAACAGACAGAAAATAGATGCTATCTAAAATCAGATTGCATTTCCTTAAACTGAGAAAGTTCTCATCAGCAGAGTTTTAGCACTGCATCTGTAGAAATATGACCGAAAATCAACAGCAATAGATGGATAATAAATGTCCTTAAATAAGCTAAAAATATTTGTGGCAAAATCTGCCCTTCAGACAGCGGAGTGGTAGAAATAATTATGAAACACGTTGTAGCCTTTGGTGTTGTACTTCTGATTTGCAGGAAAAGTGAGTCCTAAAGTAGAAACGAGACACTTGTAAGAGCAAGACGAACAATGAACCTTTCATTGTACGTTGACGACAAGTTTCTGCCAGACACGACAATATTAAGTGGACTGGAAACAACGGAGGAGGCTGAGAGATTACTGTAGATATCTGCTGCTTGATTGTAATGATAAACCACAGATGTGCAAAGAATTCAGCTTAGCGCTGTCTGCCAGGCCTGTGAGCACACCCCCACACTCACAGCAGGGGAAGAGGAGGAGGGACGCACATGTGGAGGAGGCAGAGGTGCTCGAAGACTGCAAGCTGTTTTAGTTAACATTGGCAGTTGCTGCCATGATTACGATATCAGACATTCAGAAATAAATCTTCTTTGGTGAGACATCAACAAATCCTTATCGGTAAATATGACTCTATTAAAGACAGATGAAAAATGTGCAGAAATGAGCAAATTAAAGATGGGATAACAAGGAAGCAGTTCAGATCAATTTAACTTCAAAGTTAGTCTGAATATGAAAGTCAAGTGTTCATGATTTTCCCTTTTCAAAGCTGAGATTAATCCTTCTTTTGCCTTAATCGTTAACAACAAGAATAACTTTCTGCATGAGGAGAAGAGCATGACTCCTCAAATATTTGTCCAAACTTGCCTCAGGCTTTGATGGTAAAAATAAAATTAAACCAATGATCAGTTTTATTTTTCATTTATGAAATTTTGCAGCCTGAAAATGGACAGGGTGAAGTGGCCTTTGGTTTTGTTTGTAATTCAAAGCACCTGCTTGTAAATTTGAGTGACTGTTATACATAAACGCAGAAGGTATTTTTGAAATAGAAAGTTATGCAAATGCGTCACATCAAGGCTTAGCTGCATTTGAGAAGTTTCACCACATATGACATGTGGCCTTCTACCACCAATGGACAAATGTGAAAACAAAATATTTGTAAACCATTATAAATCTTGATCCAATTGTTCTGACTTCATCTGACCCAAAACACTTTTGGGTCAGTGTGGGGACGTGCTATTATTAAAGTAAGCAAACTGGAGAGCTTACAGGAAATTACTGGATAGAGATCAGGTAACAATGTTGTGGTTAAATTGTGAATGCATGTTCTGATCTGTGTCTCAAACCCTCAGGCCAGCTAACTCAGATTATGGATTTTTGCTGCTTGCTAAAACAGATGCTCGTCTGCGAGCCATGGCTATGCGTCTACCTGACGACTAATTACATTTCCTTCAGGAAATAAGAGAAGTTTACGACCTAATAGGTGTGTGAAATGTTTCTCTGACGTGGGCACTTCACAGTCTATGGAAGAGGGGGCTGGTGCTTGAGGTTCTGATGCGTCACATCAGAACCTGGGCCTTACATTTACGTAAGGCCCACACAGTGGCAGATCAACCCGAATAAGAGGAACTGGGGCTTAGAAAAGGAAGTTCTGGCTGAACATATCTCTCCAGATGGTTTCACTTAGATTCTAAGCTCAAAAACAAACCTCTTTTTCAGCACTGATGTCTGCGAGCTCACACACAAACAAACTAGGCTGAATTAATATGGGAGATCTGTTGTAAATCTAAAGCAAAAAGGGAATATGTTATTTTAAAATGTCTTTAATCCCACAAAAAATCATAAGGTCGTCTTTCTGTAGACTTTATGTTTCACTTTGGTTTTGTTTTTTGTCCTTTGTCAATCATTTGCCATTAGTTTCCCTGCGGTATTTATATCTTTTGTGCCTCTGCGTTTGATCACTTCTTTCAATTTTATTCCCCATTGCTTCTGACATGATTCTTGTTGAGGTGCTGCAGGTTCTTTTCATCTTCTGCTCTCATCTCTCATCACGTTGCTTTTTATTTAAAAAGAGAGATGTCAAGTTCAATACCTCTTTGAAAAGGCAATTTGTTATCCAACATCTCCTTATAAACCAAGACACTTGTTTAGACAAACGAACCAAGCAATACAAGATGAAATGCTGAGACTAAATAAAAACAATAATGACATTTCATTGATATTAACATTAAAGATAATGCTGGGTTTTAAACAATGAAGTTGCAGAAAGCGAGAGTGAGACAAAAAGTAATCAAATTACTTTGATTAGTTTCAGATTTATTTTTCTATCTGAAACTGTAAATAGATAAAGAAATGTTTGGTTATCCTGTGTTGGTTGTTTTTTTTTTTTCATGCTGTCTTTTAAGTGAATACTTTTTATGTTTCATCAATGTTGTGGATTGTAAGGCTTAATCAAGCTCAAAGCTGCCTCTTATAAACTGATGGACTTGCCTGGGAATGTCATTATAATGCCAACTGTTCCACATTTTCTTTTCAAACCATGTGCAATAGTGTGCACATATGCAAATACATGACAAAATGCCATAATTAAGCCATAAAATGTATAAACGGGTTCTGAAAACAAACGCGACAAAGGAACACGGTTGTCACTGGGGTTTTGCTGCTGCGACTTCCAGGAGAGCCACAAGAGGCTGCAATTTGTTCACAAATCCGACAGCTGTGCGCTTCTTCTGTCTCCTCAGAATGAAGCTGTTCATTTTACAGGATATTCTACAAGGAAGTCATTATATATATATGACTTCACTTATAGGTCAATCAGTCAGACTGATGACTGACTGAAAGAAGTCTATTACCACCCACGTGCATAATGAGCTACCCAACACCTACCTATTTATACTGTGAAACACCCACATCCTAAACTGAAATTAACTAATTAATTAAGTGAATTACTAACCAAAGAACCTATTTTAAATAACAAATTAAACAAAAATTCTAATTGTAAATCAACTAGAAAATAAGCAAATAAAAATGAACTAAATAATCTAAATTCTATGATTTAACTGAAAGTGGACAAGTAGCTCCTGCAATTTATAAAATCATTAACGAGAATACAGAAAAAAATAAAGATGTCTCATTTATCTGACAAATGAGCCTCATGATGTTTCTGAAAGTAAATTTCTCATTTTATTAACACATTTGTCACTCTCTTCTTGATAGTAAATACCTGTTTCTTTCGCTCCTGTACCTCAATGAAATATTCTTGTGCTCATAGGTTTGTCAACGACAGTGACATACAGAGCAAGTCAATTTTCAATTTATTAGACAATTCATTGACTAAACTTAACCCCTTAATTGTCATTTTTAATTACAGTGCTCTAGAAAGGTAAGCAAATGACAATATAATGCTCCTTTTGTTAGTATAGAAAGTGTTCTATTTATTTTGTTCAATAAAAAGATATTAAAAATAAGCACCTTTTTATTACACATTTGCATAAAAGTAGGCCTCCATGCTAAAACTGTAGGCTATATGCAGATAAGTCGCCCCATTGACGGTGTGACTCATTTGCCCGCCTAAAGACAGACAGAAGGGACATGGACATGTGAGGGGTCTCCTTTGTTCCGCGTTTAGTCTCCTCCGTGGCCCCTGGAAAACCATTAAACGAGTAGGACTTCTCCCAGGAGCCCGGCATTCCTCGGATTCCTCGTGTCTGATGTCACAGCAGAGAGGACGGGGCTCCAGTGGCGTCTGGAGTCACGGATGCGTTCACGGACAGCGAATAGGACACGAGACCTGAGCTTCCCATGTGGGATTTTTCAGACACATTGTATGGTGATTTAAAAAGAATACGTAAAAGTTACAGTAAATTCATTAATAATTTCTTTGTTACGTTTTAATCCATCCATCCATCCATCCATCCATCCATCCATCCATCCATCCATCCATCCATCCATCCATCCATCATCCATCCATCCATCCATCCATCCATCCATCCATCCATCCATCCATCCATCCATCCATCCATCCATCCATCCATCCATCCATCCATCCATCAGAGTAGTATCATCAAATACGTTGGCACTGATTTTCACGTCTATAGCGTGTAAGTATTATAATTCCGATTTTGTTTTCAGCCGCTGAACGCAACGCGTGCTCTCTCTCCGCCCGTCTGAGCGCCTCCATTGGGACAGAGGGGCCAGTACTACAAACATACCGAGAATCCCACCGAGAGGCTACGTGAGACCACGTCGTTTTTACGCAAGTGGGAGAAGTTTTGCAGATGATTTCAAACTTTTCCGTCGTTCTCACCAACAAACGGGTCGCAGCAGTTTCGGGACTCCCTGTTGCTTCTCCGACGCGCTTTTTGTTCCCAATGTTGCTTTCTCCGTATGAAACGATGAAAAGACTTTCAGGTTTTCGGGACTGAAGTCGCCCAGTTGGGTGTATGCTGGACTATCTGCAGCGAAGAGACATTTCTTCCACTGGAAGTAAAAAAAAAAACAGGATGTAGCGCAGGATAAAAGGTGAGTTTTTTTTATTTTTACTTTGGAAAACTGCTTCTCTGCTCTTAAAAAGTTGAAGCAATAGTTTGGGTAAACTCGGACTTTCCTGCATCACGTAGGCCAAATAAATGGCTTTGGCTCGGAGCAAATCTGAAATATTTTTATGCTAGAAAAAGACAAAAAAATAACAACAAAACAACTCTCCACCCCTTTTCGCATCAGATAACACTGCATTAAAACTGAACTTTCAAAGTGAATTAAGTTTATGTTTAATTTGCCTGTAGAAATCAGATGTTTTTGTCATCAGGAGTGAAAGATGTGATCACTGCGCTCTCGGGAGAACTTGACTTTGTCAACTGGAGATGCTGTTGAATTTTGTCAGGACTTGTAGTGTGGATCCTGACAAAACGTCTTGACAAATGGATTCATTCTTTCAGTCCACGCATGTGATCAACAGTGCGTGGAACCGTTCACGTGAGCTTGCCTGGGGGGTTTACAATATCTGATGCAAAACACCCTCACACCGTGCAAGAGGAGTTTTGAGTGGAGAAGGATGTGTTTGGACACGCAACATTGTGGACTGCAAGCAGCAGAGAGCTCTGCAACCGAGAACATAGTTGCTGCAGGCGTCGGCTCCACACACACACACACACACACACACACATCTGGGTATCTTTAAAAGCTCAGAGGCCTGCTGTGTAAATTACATGGTGCAAGTGACTTGGGAGTACACCCTGGTGGGGAATTTAAAGCACCAGGACTTATTAGAGCTGTAGCCTTCACCCATGCTTCCTGTTTTAGAGGTATTTTTTGTCAGGTTGTAAGAAAGGAAAGTTCCAGATATTTGTGGAGTCCCAGAGGCATGTTTTTGTTGAAGGTCAGCCTGGTGAGACTATAATAGGTGTTTACCACATAATGTGTGCTTGCATTCAGAGAGAAAAGTGGCTATTGTTTGCACTGCCAGTGGTCATTTGAGCCTAAAGGCCATTTGATTGCTATATGGGGGAAAACACACCTGTAATTTTGGTCAAGTGCTGCTTGCTGTAGCCCACCACAGGAAAAGAGAGCGGGAAAAATGAAAATAGGCTGCTCTGGTCATTGTTGTTATTTTTACACTTTTCAAATGTGAGCCAAATATAAAAAATACATGTAACATCTGATTTTTTATGAAGAATCATTTAGATATATGTTTACTGTCCAAATAAAAATACAAAGACATTCTGATGTCCTTCAGCAAGTCAATGCAGTCAATCAAATTGAAAAACATGAAAAATTCAGCATAACACTACCACCACGCATCACGGTTAGTCCAGTCTTTCTCACAAATATTTCTCTCGGCATCGCAGCTTGTCTGACTATAGAGCCGTTCTCTGCAAAGGATTTGGCTCTTCTTGGTCAACAGAGCTGTGACTCACTTTGATGCTGAATCATTTCCATCAGGACAGTGGCGATGGCGTCCCACCACCTTCCAGGTGTAGATGGGCTTGGTGGCTCCTTGGTTGTTCTAAAACATGTTGACCTATTTTGTTTTACTTGCGATGACATGTTGGGTTGGATTTTAAATTTGGACACAGTTGAGCGTAGCAGTGGGACGGCAATCCCAAACACACATCAGAACTGATTTTTTTTTTTTTTTTTTTGGTATTACTTGTTTTGTATTACAGCATTACTTTTTTGTAAGTAATGCTGACTAACATCAAGCTTATTGGAATAGCTTCAACTTCAGCCTTGGGTGAAGCTGGGTGGTGCCTCTCCTGCATCAAAAAATTATGCCTCAGGCATATAAGGACTGCAGTTTCTTGTTCATTTTCATTATCTTTTGAGGATGTCTAATTACTAATGTCAACTTAAAAAAATATTGTTTTTGCATAATTTTAAAGCCCCAAATGACCAATGCCATGTGTGTAAACCTCTGACTTGCCTTCTGTGTAATAAAGGTGGCACAATGCAGGCTGATTTTAATTAGATGCTTGGAGTGGGGTGTTACACAGGGATGCTTTTGTTGCCGCTCTGTAAGTTGTGTGCCGTCGTGCAGCCTGGTGAACAACAACATGGCTGAGAGCGTGCAGCGACCTGCCCAAATCTCCCACACTCCACCAGGTGTTTCGTGCGAGTTGTCAGTCACAGCTGCTGGGCCTGACTCCCTCCGCAGATCAGACCTCCACTCACTATCAGGATGGGGCCAACATGTGGTATTTTATGGGAGTTCGCGCATCAAGAAAGAAATATCTTTCCATTTGATCCCCTGTTTAGGAAAGAGTGTGACTTTTTCTGGTCTTTGTAGTGCAGCCGGATGTAGACGGCAGCAGAACTGCTGCCTTCACAGACCTTTAAAATCAGAGCTGGTGCTTGAGGACTCTGCTGTAAGAACTTACTGTGTGTAGGGAGTAAAGTCGGGCGAGTGCAGTTCCAAAGAGGGGGGGCGGAGTAGTGGGGATGGAAAATGTGAAGAGCAATGTGGTTTGGCAGCGGAGAGCCTGATGACTGCCATGCTGATGGTCCGAGGTTTCTGCTCCTATCTGTGTGACGCTCCGTGTTTACTCTCCGCTCTCCTCACCAACTGCACCAACACGATAAGGGCACTGTTACATCCTTTCTGCTTCCAGCTTATCGAAATGCTTTTTCTTTTCTCACCAAGGTGCTGGGAATCACTGATGCTTTACATTTACACGCCACCCACTCTTGTTGTATCTCTTGCCCTTATCGTAATTGTACAATCCTAATTTGGAAAATCAGTTTCTGGCATTTATTCTACTCTCCCTTTGCCTGTCGAAAGCTCTTACCATTACCATTCGGTTCCCGCCATGCTTCTTCTGGTTGGAATATGAATTCAGTACGTCACTTATAGAGTTTGATTATGTACTTGTATGACTCAATTTGAATTTCTGTTGACTTTAAATTGCAAGTATTTTTTTCTGAGTGTAGCATATATTATGACTTTGTAGTAGTCCAAACAGAGTTCGAACTTGAGTGAGATGGAGCGTCTAGGGAGGAGTCTAAACAAAATATCACACGTTTAGTGTTATTGCATTATTCCTTTATGCAATACACAATTCCTTAGACCGCAATATGTATGAGCTCAGTCTTTAATTACCATGCATTCAGATGACACTTGTTTAGTTCAGACTCAAAGGTTTTAGAAGGTAAATAGATGATAAAGTGGTTTAGTCATTAGGGCAACACAACTAATGAGTTTATTTGCAACAAAGTAGCAGATTGTTGGAGTGTGAGAAAGACAAAGATAACAAAATTAATTCATTTTAATTGTGTGTTTAATTATACAGTAATTTGTTTATCCTGACAATCTCTCATATTGCATGATACCTTTCAAAATAAAATCACCAAATGCTAGCGGAAGCATTCAAATAGCTGGTCAGAATTCATAAGAACAGTTTTATTGCTGTAATGCCAATAATTTTTTTTCCCCAAATTATTTAAAAGAGCCAAAGTAATTTTTATGAAAACATTATTTTTTGAAAATGTAAATGAAAACAGGTATTTCTTTTAATTTATTATTCTTTGCACTGTTTTATTTTCTTTTTAGAGATGCCTTTCTCTGTTCCTATCAGAAACAATCTTCTTGGTTGTTGACAGGAATTTTGAATTTAAATCTTCAAGGCGTATGAATAACTTTGGGCTTATTGATTAATAGCTGGTGCAATGTTTCCAAAAGAAAAAAAAAAAAAAAAAAAAAAAAAAACGCTTCCCAGTTTCTTTTTTCGCAGTGTAAGCTTGTTTGCTCTTATTCCGTTCAAGAGTTATTTGTACCTTTTGTGCAAAGGAGCAATTTGTCATGTTTGTTGTGTTAATATACAGAGATACAGAGGAAAATATTGTTTTGCCTCCATTAATAACTCCTAACATGCTACACAAGGTATTTTGTTCAACATAGCCTTTCAGGAAGTAGTTAATTAGAAAAACATTTTGGAAAAGCAAAAGTAAGGGAGTTGAGCGTTTTTTTTTGTTTTGTTTTTTTTTTCCGATGAGAATAAATTAGCAACAGTCATTAATATTGCTGGACGTGCAGTTTTCAGCTGGACCTGCTATGAACTAGTCTACAACAGCCAGCTTGTAGTAGTTAAAATCCAAGATGGGCCTACAAGCAAACATGTGGTATGTCTCCTTTTTTCAGTCATGATGTAAGTTTTAGATGTAACCTCATCATATATTTCTACCACCTCATTTTGCGCTATGTATTCAGAATTTCCAAGTCAGCAAACTTACCCAGCAAGTTTAATTCAAACATGGAAGGTTGATGGTTCCTCCACACAACCCTCTGTTCAACATCCGCTATGGCTGCCATGTGCACAAAACTTAGGCGAAAACACTGTTTATTTGCTCTTCTTATGGTTTGACAAACCTTTGTCACATATAGTATTGTTCAATCTTTATTCATGAGCATTCCTTAAGTCTATAAATATAATGGAGAAAAGGATGATTTATGGGCTTGTATTGCTGGTAGTCGTTTGCAACAAAGCAATTAGCAAATTCCCTGATTTCAGGTGTGATGACATCCTTATTGCAGAGACTCTTCAGACAACTGGAATGCAGCAATGGTTCGCTTTGCAAACCCAAAAATGCAAGAGGCCCGCTAAACGCTCAACGTAAAAAAAAAACAAACATGTCGTCTATTTGTGAGAAACTGCAAGTGCTGCTGAACCAGAAACATTAACTTATTGTGATTGTTGTTGATTTCCCTTGAAGAAATTAGGAAAAAAAAATTCTTCTTTTTTGTTCCAGGAAAAAAAAAAAATCAGAACGTCTTTAAGTTCTTCTTGATGGACTATTCAGTTAGAGGGGCTGTGGATAGCTTGCTTAGTGAGAATGCTGAACTATGCTTTGTATTTGCACAGTAAACATAAATGTAAATGATTTGAAATAGAAACTTTTATTTCCAATACATATATTCACTGAGTTCAAGTCTCTCAGATGAGATTTCAGGACACTTAGCATGAATTTGTGGACGGTACAGAGTATCATCTTACAGTGAACCTCAGTAAAAGCAGTTTCAAAACAGGATTCGATTGAAGTTGTGTGTGGTGGAGGTTCTTTTTTCTCTGAACAAACTTATATTTTAAGGATAAGTCTGTGAAATGAACTCGTATCGGTGGGAATCTGGTCTGCGAGTGCATTTTGCATAAAGCTGCCGACATGGCCCTCCCCAACTGTCTGGACATCACTTCTGTGTGAACGCTGTGCGTTCGTCACTGTCCCTGCATTCTCACGTAGCAGAGAGAATGTTCTGTGTGTGTGTGTGTCTTTGTCCCAGAGTCGGAGCTGCAGAGGGGGGGAGAAAAAGGGCCGCAAAGTGAGAAAGCAGATGCGCTTGTTAGAAGCACACTGTCTGGTCGCCTGGCTCCACCATCTGTTTGCAGCTGCTCATGCTTGCGTGTGCCAGACAGTAGGGATATATGTGTCTGTGTACAACACGTGGTAGAGTGCATATCTGTCTTTATAACTGTGTTCACACACTCAAATGCATCTCCAAAGCTTTCACACTAACACTTGCTGCTACTGATTTTGGTTTATTCAAGTTTTTTCTTTAAGGACCACAATAAAATAAGATCAAATAATATCATTAAACATGTTTTTTTTTGTCTTGTTGCTGTAAGCAGCCGTAAATCATTTTTTTTTATTGGGTGAAGATTAAATTAAACAGTGTGATGTAGGAGCAATTGCCGTAAAACGGGTTTTTACTGTACTGTAACAAGGAGAAAATGATTATTTAGCTAATGTGTTATATTAGGAAATCCAAGGTTATTAAAAAGCTCCAAGCATTTCCAAATCTGACAGGTTCCACGACTTGCAGAGGTTGAATGCTGGAAAAGATAAGAGCTCCTGAGCTGTACTCTGTTTATCCTTCCTGTTATCTGCTAACTGCCTTGATCTCGCCAGTATTTTGAAGCCTGAATGAACCAAAATCTTATTTGATATTTTGTAGAAAATACAGCTTCCTTCCAAATGGCTCTTTATGCCTTTTGTGCCTCCTCTGATTTAATCTCCATCATCAGCACTGCACTGATGCTGACAAAAAGGTCTTCTACACTAGATAACAGCAACCGCACTGACGAATTGTTTTGGCAGATCACACTATTATAATGCAGTCTTAAAATTACATAACCTATGTTTTAACAATGTTTTTACAACGGTTCGAGAACATCAAATAAAAATCTGCCTGCAAAGGTTAGTGCTAATTCTATTGTTTCACCTTCGTTTGGAGGGACGTCTTGTTCCACAAAAAACTGGTGATTAAGTTTAAATCTGAGATAAATTTAAAGTCTAATTAGCTGAGAAGTCAGGAAATCAGAGCTGCTTTGGGCTCCCATTTCTTAAGTGTTAGATTTTTGAGGAAAAAAACTCAATTTGCATAACCGACCCGAACCTTCTTCAGCCGCATCCTCTAAATGCTGCCTGATATGCAGACCTGACATTCGATCCAGGTCTAGTTTGGGTTCAAACTGTAAAAAGAGTGCGCCAAAGGAAGCACAGTTATGAGCTGTGAAGCATTCTGGCCATTCGTTTTGCTACATTGCTCATGTATGACCGAGGGTGAAGGGGAGAGCGGAGGGCGGGATGAGACGGTGTTGGTATTTGAGACATAGCAGCGCAACAGAGATCAGATTGATTGAGTTACGCACGCTACACTTGCCTCCTCTGCTCTCTGTGGCCTTCCTCTAATGGATTTGGCGGTAGGTGACAAAGTGCGGTTTTGTTCCCACTATTGTGTGGGACTGAATGGGGCTGCCCTGCACCAGCAGCAGAGACAAATCAGCAGCCCTGGTTCTGAGCAGATGCTGGAGTGAGTAATAAATTGCTTTGTTTTTGTTTTTTTTTTTGTTTTGTTTTCAATCAAATGCTTTTTGGTAATAGCTGCTGAGAACTTTTCCAATCAATCATATTTAAGGTTAGTAATTTAATATTACTTACAAGTACGCTATCACACTTTATGCACAATTTGTTTTGGTTGCATAATACCACCTGGTTGGTTGTAGTGCTTATCTTTGCAAGTTTGAGTTTGTGATATCATCAGGTGGCTCTTGGGGAGGGGAACACCGGATTTCGTACAAAGGTTGTTAGCGGAAAAAGTATTTTCCTTGAGGGGAGAAACCTGTATCAACATTGTTTATTAGCTCATTTTATAACTTTGTTTGTCAGCTACTGACACATTAATTCTAATCCCCCTTTTACATAGTTGATGCTGGACACCTGCCAGACTGTCTCTTCCAGAATATGGTGCATTACCAATAGGAAATCAGTTAATCAATCAATCAATCAAATTTTATTTGTACAGCACATTTCAGCAACAAGGCATTTCAAAGTGCTTTACCTCATAAAAACACAAAAATACAATATCAATCAGTTGCAAGGTTGACAGAAAATACGACACAATTTCTATGTTGCTTTGGGAACAATGATCCAGCTTCAGTTTTAATTAATTCAGTGAAAATATAAAACGTTCCATGGAAAACTGACTTTCATTGACCACTTTGAATTATCCGTAATGATGAAGGTCAAAACTTTCCCACAATGCATCTGTAAACTGTTATGAAAGAAAGATCCTGTATAATTGTGGATGGTCTTAGCGGTTTAAGCACACAGAGAGAAAAGAAGTGGTTTGCCCTTTGTCGTATCACTTTGGAGAGGACAAAGAGAAGAAAAAAAAAACTGGTTTCACGTATATTTAGACAAAGCTCACTCCCCCTTAAAAATACAAGCAAACTCTGTTCACTCAGTTTTCTCCCTCGGTTTTGCCACGCCACAAAATTACAACGTGCAAATTTCTAAGCGTATGGGGCCGTTTTTGGAAATAAACACGATGGCAGGGATTTTGCAGCAACATTCTTTCTCTTTATTTATTTATTTCTTCGCATCAAGGAGTTGGTTTGATCCCAACCTATTGTCCGTCGCTCTGTCTGCATTACCCCACCACACACACCCAAACCGCTCCACTGATTACTGGCTTAGGGTAGCACCAAGCGCTGTCTAGTCTTTGGGCTAACCTCCGAGGAACTTGGTGTGTGTGTGTGTGTGTGTTTGTGTGAGAGATCATTTGTATGTGTTTGTGGTGTGCCCTGTTCATGCATGTCTTCGTTTGTACACTGCAGTGAAAGTATGTCTGTATGTTTATCTAGGTCTGTGTAATTGCTGACAGTGATTTTGCAGATTTGTGTTCTTGGGAACCTTTTTTGAGACGATGTGGGAAGGTTTTACTGTAATGATGTCACTTTCCCTTAAGCCAGAGCCGGATGGGGTGAAGGCGACCGTTGGGGTCACGACAGCCACATATCTCAAAGCTTCGCTGGTTTAGCCACCAAATATAACCCATCGATGGCTTTCTCGCCGAGTGTGCAAACGAACGCCTCCCAAAAGTGTACAAATAAGATGATAACTTGTTGTGCGCAACCTGCAGTTGAATTCAGAGGCCAGGAATGTGCTGTGCTGTGGCTTCCAGAAGAGTTACTGCTGTTGCAACAGGCAAGAGTGAAGCAAAGTGTGGCTCACGTTGAAGCAATCAACACGGATGTTTTTAGGTTCTTGACAGCTTTCAATCAAGCTACCGCTGCGGTGCATGGATTTTTTTTATTGTATTTTATTTTTTATTCCTTCCTGCTCACTCAGCCACATCAGACACACAAACACTCGCACTCTGCTCCTTCTTGTGGTGTATGCTCGTGTCAGGTGTGCTCTGTTTTCCCTCGTCAGGGCAGAAAGGAATCTGGGCCGGGATCCAAGCTGACTATTAGGAGGAGTGCATTGCCAGAACCCGGGACAAGAAGCAACACATCCACTCCTCCTCCTCCTCTCTCTTCCTTTCTGCTGCTCATCTCTTTCTCGCAGGGGATTTTTTATTTTTTTTGTGTGCGTGTGTCAAATTTTAACATCTGCTTAGTTTCTCTCATGCATTTCTTTATCTTTCAAATATTTACATTAGAAATTAAAATCAAATATTTTAAAGTCGCTGCAGAGTTTTAAGGACTGAAATTGCAGGTTTTTGAATTTTTCATTTTACGATTTCTATGTATGCTGTGAACAAACTCCACGCTCCTCACATGATGCTTGTTAGTATCCTGAGCAATGCCAGTTTTTGATATCAGCCATATGGGTACTTATACAGGGTGACATTAAAAAGGGGATCACATGGTCGCCAGGTAAAGAAACAGCTAATCTGCCAATTTCACCCTGAACAAGTTTTCTTTCACTCTTATTGATGTAGCTTTTTAATTTGTTCTAGATGCAGCTGCTGACCATAGATTCACACCACTGCCTCTGTCTATCATGTCTGCCTGATCTGGTCTGATCAGAGCTCAGCTGTGTCAGACTTCAGGATTAAACTGTAGGATTAATCCATGTGAAGCTTTTATGTTCAACGTAATACTACTTCCGCTGCCATCGCAAAATCATACAAATAGAAAGAATTAGCAGAATACTAGTTCTTTGTATTTGTATGATTCTGTTTCTTTATGAGATGAAGACAAGACAATATCACTGGAAAACTTGATGTGGGAAGTTTTGATAAGAAATTTATTTACTGGAAGGAGCCCAGGGTTATTGCTCCTTCTATCTAGGTTCGGAGAGTCATAATAAGGTTCAAAGACGTTTGGTAAAATATGAGGCATTTTTACGATGTTGTTATTGACTTTGATTTCTGTGTTTTATCTATATTTACAGCATCTGCTCATCCTCCTCATCCTAACCCTCCTCGTTCTCCTCCTCTCTGGACATCTTTGGGAATGGGCCAGCGCCTTGCCTGGGTGCATCTCTCTGCCCGGTGGTGTGGCTGGCGTCGCGCGCGAGTGAGGAGGGCGACGGGCAGGTCATAGAGCCTCCCCTCTCCTCTTCGTCACTCGCTTTGCCCTCGAGTGACTTTTGGCCTTTGACTGAGCCGCGACCCCCGCCTTGACCAGCCATGCCCTTCGGGCTGAAGCTGCGGCGCACACGGCGCTACAATGTCCTGAGCAAGAACTACTTTGTAACGAGAATCCGGCTGCTGGACAACAATGTGATTGAATGCACCCTGTCAGTGGAGAGTACGGGACAGGAATGTTTGGAGGCAGTGGCCCAGAGGCTGGAGCTGCGGGAGGTTAGTGCCTTACTTTCTGATGCTACATAAAAACGCAAAATTATATGTCAGAATATAATCTGTGAAATCTACTGGGGTTTAATTAAAGTCCTACATAATGTGGCATTAGTTAGAGACAGTGTCGTCATATTGTCTTTGTTTGTCTGATTGTCACACTTTGCTCCTGACACCCAGTGTGTGTCTCCTTGCCCTCTTCTGTCGCTGTTGTTTGTCTCTAACGAAGCGTGGCCACCTCCATCCTCTTGTCAGGACAGAAGAAAGCAATAGTGCTCATCACCTCGTCACAATTAACCTCCCCTTCGCCTTTCTGTGCTCCTCTCTTCCTCCTCCTCTGTAGTTCTCAGTTTTAAACCTTCATTGTTTCTGTCCTGAGTTTTTGTGTTTTCCTCATCTGTACTGTGTCAGAAGTGCGAATTCTTGGAAAAATGTCCATATCTTTTGAAATGTGCTTCGACACGTGGAGGTAAGCATTTTTACGACTAGAAACCTGGAACGTCTCACTTTGTGAAGGTTCCTTTGTGTTCAGTCCGTTTACTTAAAATCCCCAAAATAAAATTCAGTGCAGATTAGTGAATCTATCCAATCACTGGTTTATCATTGTGCAATTTTTGTTGTTATGACTATAGATGTTTTAGGACTCAGAGGTTTGTTTGTAGAGCCGCACAATCGACATCTTAAAACAAACATTTACAATGTTGCTGTAGCAACAAACTGCTTGGATGTAATCTTTTGATAGTGATTTTTCTCAACATTAAATGCTTAACTTTCGTGGCTGGAATGCTAAAACTCTGAAAATGTAATGCTGCAAACTAAAGAAGATATTTAGAAAATTGTGAATCAATAGCAATTTATATTATTGCAATATTTAGCAACAGTATTACATGTCCTCCTGTCGGCTTGTTGCATGTCTTTTAAAAACGGGGGAAAAAAAATAAATTAACAATTGTACTATAAAGACCAAGGAACACGCCAGAGTGACTGGGGATGAAACTGTAGAGAAAGCTACATATGGCACGACACCCTGAACGCACCATTTGTAAAGCGTCACATGGTAGTGGGAGAATCATGCTATAAGGATGTGTATTTGCCTGAACCATGATGGAGACTGATGAATGTGTGTGTGTGTTTGAGTGGGTCTCTGATGTGTGGTGTGATGCACACTCACATAGTGTTGTAATATTTGCCAGGTGTTAGCGATGCCATGAATAAAGGGCCGTAACACCACAACTTTAGCACCCATCTGCCTCCTTTGTGCACTTTATCTCAGGACGTTGTGTGGGTTTGTCGCTTCATCTCTTACCGTCAGTATACATAAGATTGACTTTGTTATGCGACTACTGTATGCAGCAGCTGATGCCTCCAGCTGGAGCAATTTTATTAAAGGAAAGTTAAGCAACACAGAGGAAACAGATGTTTATCTTGCTGTGGTACCAGTGACTAACGGATGATAACACACACACACACACACATGCACACATAAATGTCAACACTTCTCAGTAAATGACACAAAATTATTTTAAAACTGGTGAACAAAGTTTAAAATTAGTAATACGAATCAGGTCGCTGTTTTATAAGCGACACAAACAATAATATTTAATGCTCATGAGTTGTTGCAGTTAAAACAAAGTATTTGTAAAATTAAATTTGGAAAAGTCTATAGATAAATGTTTATATTTTTTAATGCTTGATCAACAGTGTTGGTTTTAAATCCTATAGCAAAAATATTTTGCTCCTAGAAAAATAAAATAAAATAAAAAAAAATATTAAAAAAATTATATTACATTTGAAGACGGTAGGAGTAAAAAAGATTTTGTCAGATAAAATTTAGTCACTCTTTTGGGACAGAAAATAACTAAGTTGACTAGTTTTGTGAAAATCACAGAGAAGAGTACAAAACCTTTTGGTGTATCTAATCTTTTTTTTTTTTTGTCTCCCACATTGTTAGATACAGAACTACATTTATTGTAGACTGAAATTAACAATTGCGATGGCCCCAAAATGATAATCTTAGTCTTATTTTCTATTAGTTGGCATAACTGTGAAGTGCCACAACAATGGGAAGCTTCATTGTGTTGAAAAAGGCCATACAAACAGGTGTGGAGATAATACATTTTAGCCAGTAAGGCCCGTGTAATCTCTTGTGAACTCCAAGAGGCGGCTGATTGGTTATTTCACAGACATGACATTTTATTCCACCTAATGACCTTCTATTTTTTTCTCTTTTCGGTTTATAGACCCATTACTTCGGACTGTGGTTCCAAGGAAAGACCCAGACACCAGCGCAGCGCTGGGTAGAACTCGAAAAGCCCCTCAAGAAACAGCTGGACAAGTTTGGGAATGAGCCTCAGCTGTTTTTTGGAGTCATGTTCTATGTTCCTAATGTTTCCCGTCTGGAACAAGAAGCCACCAGGTAAAAAGTCTTAAATAAATCTCTTGTTTATGGGCAAAGAGAATGTGACTTTAAATGAGGCTGTTTGGTGTACAATGGCGGCAGATGGTTCAAATGTTGAAAGTTTACATTTTGCAATTTTGTTGTTTGTTATTGTGGGTTAAAACATCTGCATCTGTGCGAGGAATATGTTGCGATATGTTCCTCATCACATTTCCAACATCTTGCAAAAGTATTAAAATCCTGTGAGTTTTAATTCAACAAGTAGTTTTTGATATTCCACAAATCTTTGGCAATTGATGCCTAATGTTGTTGGATTTAATCAATGTGTTTTAAAAGCACTTTGTGACAGGGTTTACATTTCATCTGCAAGCAAAAACAGTATGCGACTTCTGTTGCGTCGTTTGAAGTCCCCCCACTGGAAACATCTTAGTTCCTGAAAAGGTTCCTGCACTGAAAATGCACCTTATTTTATTTCAATTCTCTCATTTAAATAATTACCCCCATATTTTTAGTGATATTTTAGCAGGTTGAAAAATTAGGTTTTTCTTAGACTGAGCAACTTTGTTCTTTGAATTTGTCATCTTTTCTTATCGATAGCAAGAGTATAGAACAAAAATAGCTTTCAAGTAATCAATCATTGCCATTATTTCCTTTTGCCACTGTGTATAGTCTGGGAGTGTGTTCGCAGGGTTGTGAATGAACATGTTAGGTAGCTGTGAAGAGTGCATGCAGGGGTCAGTGTGCAGCGGACAGTCTGGCATGTCAGACTGATTTACGCGGAGAAACACACGGCTGCTCGTATTCTGCAGCTCTTCCTCGCGGAGAGCCGATGAATTTGTGGCCTCTGCCCCACTGGATGTGGGATAGGTCGATGGCAGGTCGCAGCTTGACGGCTTGACACAAGAGTGAATTCGAAGGTGTGTGTCTGTTTATTAACTATTTCTTGCGCTGAATGTCCTCAGTTTTTCTAGAAAGGCAGGATAGGACATGAACTGATGTGGCTTCAGTGGAAGAATGAGCTGTTTTTGAGCAACTTGTGCTTCAGACAGTGGATGAAAGTGGGTGTTTACACTTGTGTTACACAGAAACCAGGAGTTAGTCAGGTTAAAGGTTGGTATTCCAGGAATCCCCTGTAGGGTTTTATGATGTGTGTGCATAGGGGTTGTGGAGATTATGATGGGGGCTTGAGGACGATTTAGGAAACAATAGTTTCTCTTTTTTTTAAGCCCACCTTCTCTTTGTTGCCAACCCTGAACATGATGTCACCTTTGCTCCTTTTTGAGAGCAGAACTGCCCAAGTTGAGGGCCAATAGTTCTGTCATTTTCTCAGTGTCCCTTCATCGTCCTTCTTGTTCCTCCCCCTCTTTTTCTTCTTCTGTTTGTCAGGAATGCTGGCACAGCCGTCCAGCGTAGGAGGCGGACCACACATTCCTCACAGCAGAAGTGCTGGGGATAAAAGGGGGAGGGGACGTCTGGTTTACTAAAAACACACACACTCCTCTCACACTGCCCTAAGAGGCCAGCTGCAGCCCTGTCAGAAGCGTTAGCTATAATACACCGCAGTGTAAGATCATACATTCTCCCTGGGAGTTTTTGTGCATTTTAAAATTGAGAATACTAACCGCTTTCAAGAAATTTGAAAAATGTTAGGGCAATTAACCTTTTTTATGCATCTGCAGATTTTTTTGTAGAATTCACAAGACCGAACACTGTCTTCTCTAAAAGTGCAATTCTTTCACATAATTTGCAATTTGAAGGTTGACTTGGATCAGATGCTTTAAAATGGACCACTTCTAGATACCTGGTTCAGGGAAAGGGGGAGGCTTTAGCTTTCAGGCACAAGTGGAGACAGAGAGAGTAAAAGTTTGGCTGCAAACTTTGGCTTTAGACAGTGAGAATTGTATGTTCTGATCTTTTTCTGGATTTATGGTCTACTTTATTAAATAACCGCTGGCAAATGAGAAAAACATTCTTTAAACTTTATTAGTGGATCACACACACACAAAAATCAAAACATTTTTGCCTAAAAAAGCAAAGTGTTGAGTGTCTTTGTGTAAATTTGCTGAGTGTAATGTGACTTGTTTTGATGTGGTCAGGTCTTTGAAGTGCAGGATTTGACTGATATGTAACCTGAAACTAGATCTCACTCTCTTCCTTTCTCCATGCAGCTGCACAAATGAATCACAGCACTGTTTAAATCTCTGGACACTTTAAAAAAAAAATATCCACATGAACTTTAATGTGTAGTTGTTGTTTAACACAATGTTAGTTTACAGTTCACCTGGAATAGATTATTTTGTACTTTTCTTTCATTGTTTTTTTAATTGGCAAACTGGATTTCTGCCAGGATGTTCTAAAAATAATATTTGCTCTCCAGGTAATTCGGAGTTAACAACAAACATTTACTTTATACTAGCATTGGTTGAAAAGCAATAGCTAAAGCAGGAAAGGTAACAGTCCCAGTTATACCATTTTATCTTTGCAACCAATCATCATTAATTTTTTTTTCAAATATCCATTTCCACCATGTAAGCTGATTGAATGATATCTATATGTTTTTTAGAATAGATTTACACACACTTCAACATTTGCTGTCACTCCTGGTAAAGATGTTCAAAACTCATTGAAATAAACAAGTATTACGTTGCCTCCAAACTAATTTAAATGAGAAAAAAAATCTGAGAACATTTATTTTCTTTGGCAAAAGTCTTTTAATAGTGATGGTGTCACAATTATGCACACGTCTATCTACTCCTAGACTGAAAATGTAATTGATGCAAGTTTTCAGTTTATATTTTACTGTTTAAGCAGGGAACCTGTCTAGGAATCTTTAATTATTAATCCACAACTTCCTGCTTCACTGGAGATGAATATGATGAGACAGAGGTCAATTTCTCTAAGATACTCTTTAATTGACAATAGTTCAAAAAACAAAGAAGATTTTTTTACACAGTGTGGCACAGTAAACTGCTCAGTCAGAAATGGTGTTCACGTAAAACTGTTTGGTATAAGACGCCAAGCTGATAAGGTCAAATGTTTCCGTATCAGTCAGACTGCCACTTTGTGCCACATTGACAGGTGTCAACGGCAAGATGCTTAACTAGCTCATCAAAATCAGTATTATCCATTCAGATTGTGGGACGTGAAGGAATTTGTCACAAGAAATGTAGGCAATCGGCACAATTGATTGTGAAATGTCAGCTTTCCGTAGACAAGAGTGTGCAGAGTCTGAGTGGCTCACAGCATGCGCAAGGCATGTCAAAGTATGCTTTTAGTTTAATGTTTTTGTTTTTGCTTAATGTCAGGAAGCAACTCTTCCTTCAAATGAAATATCCACTTCACATTCATCCAGTGTTCAGTGTTAAGGGCCTGAAATACAAGATCTCATTGAAGATGTTAAGAAGTGTTCAAAGAATCAAAAACCTTACAGAATCAAATTTAGATTACAGGAAATTAGCCAGTTGGTTTATACCAACCATTTTGTTTGAAAGAAGAGGAAAGCTGTTTCCTGATTTAAGTGATGCTGTAGTTGAATATTTGGTCACCTCTGTTGTTTCTGCTCAGTATCTCTGTCTGAACCACTTTTTGTGTCTGGCATATACAAAAAAAAAAACCAACAACCAAGAAACAACAACAACAAAAAAAACTAATTCTTTTCATCCTGGCTTCAAAGGCTGCAATAAAAAAAATACCAGAACTTTGTTGTAATAGAAAATCAGTTCAATACTGACTTTCTCCTCTGTTGAAAGATTAACAGCTTTATTCCTTAATACTCCAACACATTTTACGACCAGGTTTGCAATTAGATATGCTGAGGCTCTTTTCTCAGAAGATCTCTTTCAGAGAGCGAGTTGCAGTCGGTGTGTGGTCAAATCTTCTGTTCCCTGATATGAAGGGGAGGAAAAGTGTCTCCCAGAGAGTGAAGACCGTAAACGAGAGTTGTTGACCGGAGCGAGGCCAGCTGGCCCCAGCGGCCCCCGAGGCCACCATCAGCAGCAGCCTTGAAATTGAAGCTTTGTTCAGCTAGTTTTCACCAACACATGCACACACACTTACACACACAAGCAGCTGTACTCGGTTGCGCCTCTTGCTGATTCAACACATTTCAAAGTGAAATTCTCCTGCCACCCACACAAAACCCTCACAGGGCTGAGGGGTGCTCAGGGTGATACCCATGCAGAGGTGGAGGGAGTGAAGGAGTTGGGGCCCAGGGGATCTCCACCATATGTGCACGCATACTGACATCCAGTCATGCATGCACACATGCTTACAGGACTGTTGTCCAAGCCACTCGGACATCTGGTTGCATGTCTTTTACTACCGGGGCTTGGACATGCGTGGGTGTATGAAAGGCTCTTTGTGCCTGTTACAGTGCCTGGACGTCCAGCAGAATATTCTGCTTTGAGGAAGAACCTCCCAGAAGGAAAGCTCCAGCTCATATATAAGTATGAAGATTCACCAGCTGTTGCAGCAGCATGAAGTTTGAGATTCCAAAAGGACTTCAATGTAAACAAGAGTGTGCAATAATGCTTCTGCATGTTTTTGGGTCATTAGGCAAATACTGATGAGTTAGCTCCTCGATTGTCAGACGATAACTGATGTAACAAAAATTACATTCAGCCTGTGTTGATTTGGTCATATCAGGCCAAATGCATAGATCGGAAATTTTAACACGATGTGCCACAATGATGCTACACACAGGAAAGTACACTGGATTTGGAGTTTGGTCCTCAAAAAAAAGATAGATAAGAAATACAAAGTGTTCTAGTGTTTTCTCACTAAAAGATTTTTTTTGTTAAAAGTTCCTGGCATTTTGAAGGTGTTCAGGTACATGGTTTTTTTTCCACATATTTATCCTTTGCTTTATGACAGGCTAAACTAGAGTGTTGCCAAAAGATTCAACCGACTCCTCTGTTCAGAGCACACACTTCCAATTAAAGTACCAAACTCACAGAATAATCTATCGAATGGCAGGACAGAAAAGGTTTCTCCAGGAGACCTGGGAGATTGTTCTGCTATTTACAGTAGAGAACCTAAGCTTATTATCATTTTCTATTATGCTATAAAAAGAGCTCAAGTTGACATGTTCCACTGTCTTGAAGATGGGTAAATGGAACTAGTAGTTTTTGACCAAGACCTGATCAAGTTGCAAGTCTTTGAGTGGCAAGTTCAGGTCAAGTCTTTAGTCATTCAAAGACCTTAAGACTTTGGTCTGATTAGTTCTAACCTTCACTATGGATGAATTTGTGTTTAAATTTTTTTTTTTTACTGTTAACTCAGTGACTTCCTTTGTTAACTATCATAGTTTCTTTAGATTATAAAAAGACCTAACTGAGATAACAATCTCAATTTTTACCTTCTGGTAAAAAGGTGACAGCACTTTTTTTTTCCTTTGGACACTCCATGTGGAGCCTTTTTTTTTTTTTTTATTATTTTTTATTTTTGTAACCACATCTTTACTTTCACAGCTATTTCAACAGTTTGTCATCTAATTCATCTGGCCTCAGCCATGAGTAAACACTATCATGTTGCTTCCCATCCAACCTCAGAAAGGAACTGACCGCTGCCAACTTTAACATCCCCTGAGCGCCGTACCGAGACTGCAGGGAAAACATGGAGGGGTTTTGAAAAACAAAGTCCACAATCATTTGAAAGGTTTTGTGTTCTGAAAGGCTCCTCCCCCTTCCTGACCACATCAAGCCCCGCCCCCCGTTTGCTCCAGCCTCCTCTGTGGTTGGGGTTGGCTTAATTAGAGGGTTGCCACGGGAACAGAATGGCATCTTAGCCAATGGGTGTAATGACAGGGTGAGGGGAAGAGGGCGGGGTCAGATTATAGGTCTGTGAGTATGCCTAGAGGAGCTTGAAAAAGAAAAGAAACACAAAGAAACAGCAGAGAGAATGTGACAGTATATGAACTCTGAGCTATGTGAAGTGGGAAATGAAAAGTCTTACCAAAAAAAAAAAAAATCCTGGATTTAGTGTATTTTTGGTCATGTGAGGGAGTGACCAAACATGCGACTGAGTGGTTTCTAAATAGTCTTGGTTGCTCTCTGTGTATTAACTTGTGTGTGAACATGTGTCAGAGAAGGTGGCTCACAGCCCACATGAGGAAGGCGCAGCCTGTGTGCCATGACAGCACAATGGGAAACACTGTGGGAGTTTTCATGCAGCTGAGCCGGGTCACCCCAACAGTCCTTCCTGTCCTCCTGTGTGGCCACTTTCATTCTTCAAAATACAAACATCCCGCAGGATGATGACTAAAAGTGGACAGAAAGCAGCTTGGAACGTTAGATTTGTTTATTCCAGCCCTTTGGGGCTTTTTTTCTCTCTTTCTTTTGGTGAATTTTGCAACTTTTTCTGATACCAGAGCATGGGTTTAACAGTCCAAGCTCTGTTATTTTATTGGTTTACACTTGATGACACCACCGCCGTCCAAAACCACAGTGAAACTTGTCATAGTTTGCCTTAGAACAACTTTAAGTTTCCTCTCTCATGTTGTACTAAAGATTTGACTCAGTTCAACACGCTCTGTGTTCCACGAACAATTACAGAGCTACAAAATCATTTTGGTCACTTTCCACTTGGCATTCCACTAGAGTCAAAAATGAGTCAGTGGTATTTCAAACTGAGGTGATTCATTCATTCCTCACTTCTGTACCAGGCCTCTTTGGCTTTGTTCAAGAGAGCCAGAATAGTCTTGACGCACACTTTCTGTTGCACCGACCAGAAGCAGAAGAATATGTCTTCTGTGTGCTTGTCAGCATATTTGCAGGCCTTCCATCGGTAAAACACAAGCTCCGTTCTCATTCAGTGGATAAATGTGTCGCGCTTCAAGCCATCATAGTTTCCAGCACGCGACTTTTATAAGTTGGTGTTCAGAGACTGTGGCTTGGTGAAAAATCTAACATTAACTCCCAACAAAGTCTTGAGGGTTTCTGAGAGTTAATAAGTCACCACCCACCTACTCGGATTTATTTTACCCACAGTTTTTCTTTTAACGCTACTACCAATTCCAAGGTTGCTGTTCATTAACTTCATAGCTTTTCCGGTTTAAACAAAACAGGCTTTGACAAACTAAAGATTTACTAACGAGGTTTGCCTGGCTGAATGTAGCATAACCTACATCATCTTTCTAATTTATAATTTGCCAGTGAACATTTGTGCAGATGCCAGGATTAATTCTAATGAAGTGGCATGAAGAAGTTGGGTTTGTTGGTTCACACAAATAGAGAAAATTGTCTGTAATTCATATGCTGTGTTTTAAATAATTTGTAACCGTTGTGGAACTTTGATATGATGTGGCTTTAGTTTTGAATAATTTTAGCTTGACTCTATGCAGAAAAAACATTACAATTATTCTCTTTGTTTTTGGTAGATGGAATAAAAGTTTCACAAATCTGCAACTGTGTTATTAGAAAACCCTGCTCACAGCTCAGTCTAGTATAACCACACCTCAGAGGAAATGATTGCGAAATAGCTAATTATTGTCCTATATTCTCACAATTCATAAATATCCTTAGTCTGCTGCACTGTCACTTTTAAAAAAAATTTTATCTGCTACCATAAAAACTCTCCAAACTATTTTAACCGTCATATGATGGCACTCATCAACTCACAAAATACTTCCTTTCTGGTTTTAAAATAAGAGTCAAATTCCCCAAGTACTATTTAGAATGCCTTTAGTCAAAAATATTTCTTATATTATTATTTTATTTTATTTTTTTACTTAAATTGAAAGTTATGTTTTAAGTTGGCGGCCTAAAAGGTTTATAAATAGAAGAAGGGAAGGAATCATGGATATCTTAAAACATGACCTTTGGCATTTGTTAAATTGGTGTGAAAAAGACTTTTGTCTTTCCCTACTCATCCATTTTATGTAGCCAAAAACATCTGGATCTATAACATATAATTCTGCACACCAGTCATTATATGTTAACCGTATTAATTTTCAGCCTCTATGTCATAAGATTCTTTATTTTCCTCTTCTGAATTTACCCTCTTTTCTCTGTAGGTATCAGTATTATCTGCAAGTGAAGAAGGAGGTGCTGGACGGACACCTGCAGTGCACTGTGGAGCGGGGAATAAGATTAGCTGGACTAGCAGTACAAGGTAAAACGCTCTCATGGACAATAAAAAAAAATATCATGTGAATAAATTCCTAGAGAGATGGTGCAAACTCATTGTTGCTCGGGTCGTCTTGACTCTCCTACCTTATATGGCTGCATTCCACAAGGAGAATCCAGTCCTCTTGAGTTCCTGTGGTATCAATCCTAATACATACACACAAATATGCCCTTTTAGTGTTCTCTGTCTTGTTCCTGGATGCAGTCTGTGTCCCAGGGGGGAATGTAAATAGAGTGATTGCTTATCAGCAGCTCCAAGGTTAGTGTTATAGCATCAGGAAAACTCTTATCTGTAAGGAGACAAGATCCTCCACTTGGCCTCCTTTTGTTCAACAAGCAGCACTTAGTGCTGAGTACAAGTGCTATCTGAGGAATGAGGAGGACATGGAGTTATTTTGTTGCCCGGGGCTTTGATAATGTGTCGGACACATATTTTTGTAATCTTTTACAATAAGTACAAGTACAATACAAGTTGTTGAATGGCTAATCTGATCAAAAATGTTAACATAAATGTATTATTGTAAATTATTAGCATATTTTGCACCAAATTGTTGTTTATAAACTTCCACAAACATAAGCTTTTAAACAGAAAAAAACTACAGAAATATGTAATAAAGGCTAAATATTTTATAGTGGTGTCTAATTGTTTGATCTTGATAAGGTCGAAATAGGTATAACTAAAACTCACTTCTTTTCAAGGTGATAAGTCTTTTGAAATGTCAAATGTATCAAATGTTTTACTTTCTAGAACTGTTATGAACAACTTTTTTTTGAAGGAGTGTTTTCCCTTTATTTTCTGTAAATATAAGAAATATAAGTCACCTGAAGGACTCATCTCAAATGAGAAAGTCATTATTTCTGTTCTAGCCCTTCAACTGACTTGTATAAAAGAAGGCTCTTACTTTATGCCATGTATGTTTTGCCACACAGACCTATAAAGGTGTTGTTAACATGTGTCAAAATGATCACGCGTATTGCAAAGGACATTTATCAATAATTGAGACTGGATTGACTTTGACTTTGCGCTATTGTGAATTTATGGACTCTCCCTAAGTGTGGGGCACATACCTGGAAATCAATCAGGTTAAATTAGTTTTACCATTTCTGATGATCAAATTCTTCCAATATTACAATGTCAAATTGATTTTAAATTTCACAAAACAATCTAAACTCCAATAAATTAATAAAACATTAAGCTTTCCTGCTATATTCAATATCAGATCTCATACAAAATGATTTGTTAGAATGAAGTTTTATATATTAAATGTGTTGCTTTGGTCTAAATTATTCTCATTGCTTGTCTCTGATTTGAAGCTGACTTTGGAGACTTCACCCACTTCCAATCTCAGGACTTCCTCAGAGAGTATGTGCTCTTCCCAGTGGTGAGTCCTCAAACTACTACTACTTCCCAGCTAAGGATCACATGCCTTGTTCTTTCCAGGCATGCCTGAAGGCATGCATTCTTGTGTGCTGCACACTTGATTGGCAGGCTAGATTGCTACTGAAGTGGGTGATGTTGAAATCATATGAGAACTACATGCTGTTTATTAATGCAGCTGCAAAAACTATTGTTGAATCTTCACAGGCAGATTACACCGGTGTCTTCTTTTTTGAGTAGTTTTATCATTTTATCATCCTCAGCATTTTATGCTCTACTTAGCTGATATTTAGTATGTTTTTTTGTCTTATTTGCTGTTTTGTTTGTCTTCGTTTTTTCCATGTAGAACTGGCCTAATGGGGATGAAGTGCTGGAGGAGTGGACCAAGAAAGTTGCTGAAGAGCATAAGAGTCACTGGTATTCATTTCCATATTTTAATCTGTATTAACAGTTCTGATCAGAGGTTTACATAGAGTTCAATGCTTTGGGGGCATTCTTAGAGTCTCTGTGCTAGATGTGCCAAAGTTTCATCCATGTATCCCACCTAGGTAATAAACAACCAGGCCTGAAATTTATTGCATAGCTTTTCCACTGCCAGCGGAAGAGCAACAACTTCCAGTTTGAAACTTTGACAGAGTTGCATATTCCACTCGGGCAGAAATCACAAACAACTATCATGTCTTGTTTTGCAAAAATAAAATAAGAGCATGCTAACATTAAGCATTTGGATTGACTTTGACTTAGCGCTATTGTGAATTTATGGACTCTCCCTAAGTGTGGGGTACTTACCTGGAAATCAGTCAGGTTAAATTAGTTTTACCATTTCTGATGATCAAATTTATCCAATATGCAGTGAGTGACTATCATCCAATTACAATATGCATTTATGTGTCTGAGCCACATGAGAGTGGATGAAATACAGAATAGGAACAAAAAAAATCATAGTAGAGCACCACATTTTTGTTCATAAAATGCATTTAAGCTGATTGATGTTTGATAATTTCACCCCTCAGAAAAGACTGGAAATGAATATTTATTCTGTAAAAGCTTGACCTTGACTTAAATGGTGTCGAAACATGCACCAATAACAGGGATGGTCCTGTCTCATGCTTTGTTTCTACCATAAAGTGGGAGGCCACCAGCTGAAGCAGAACTTTTGTACATCAAAGAGGTGGAAAAACTGGACGGTTTTGGCCAGGAAAGTTTTCCTGCAAAGGTGGCTACAAAACAAACAAACAAAAAAAAATTATTAGAATAAATTCTTGACTGTGTCTTCATTACATTTCTTCTTTTTTCTGCAGGACAACTACACAAATGACATTTTTATCGGTATGTCTTTTGTTGGGGTATTTGTCAAACACAGAAATGGCAGATCCATCATGCTCCACAAGTTAGTGTCCCTCCTTTTTTTTTTTTTTTGCATATTTTGCACCGATTAAGAACCCGTCTTCCAGAAAGTCATGCTGCTGGTTTAAATGCAGAAAGATCCAAGTGGTAAAATGTGTTTCCCTTTCTTTCACCATTCCTTATTTTGGATGTATTTCCACGCGTGCAACAGGTGGAAGGACATCGGTACCATAGCACACAACAAGTCAGCCATCACAGTGGAGATAACAAGCAGAGACGACACCATCAATTTTCACATGGTGAGTGTTGTGTCTGCAGATGCTGTTGGTATTCATACACAAACACATCCTAGGAGGTGGAAGGTTACGTCTGCATCTGGGGAGATGATTTCCAATAAATGTGCTTCCAATGTGAATGCATGTGCTTGATGTTCTTAAAAATGTATTTTTTTTTCTTCTGTGTGTGCGTGTGCATGTGTGTATCTGCAGGAGGATATGGAAATGGCCAAGTACATTGCTCGTCTTTTCACGGCCAGACACAAATTCTACAAACAAAACAAAATCTGCACAGAGTAAGTCTCGAGGCCGAGCAAAAGGCCATAGTAGAAATGAGCGCAGGAATCTTTTGAAGGTTATGTAACGGCTAAGCATATGGTGCCAGTTAATTTTTCTTTTGCTGGCTCTGTTAAAAATCTCTATAAATCCTTAAAATGAATTGACCTTTTATTGCAGTGACATAATCTCACAGTGAGACATGTAGAAAAAAAACATTGTTTACTTTGAGAAAAGTTATCCAGCTGGGGAAAATCCAGGGAAATTTGAATTAGTAATTAATCAGTTTTCTGATGTAGAACTATATGATACATAAGCCAATATTTCTGGCTAATAGGCTGGCCAAAGACCATATTTATCTTATGACTGTACACAGTGAGCAAGGAGGTACAAATAAATCACTATAACTCGCTGTTAGAAAACTGCAACAAAACATTTCCCTAACAACCATTAAATGCTATTTTCATGCCAGCCGGCTTATTTGGGGTGATAGTTCCTGTTCTACCATCAGAAATGTTAACATTCAGTTTCCTAAGCTTTACTGGGATGAGCTGGAATGTAGTTCTTCAATCAGATGAGAATGATGCATTCTTTGGGACAAGTAATGAACATGTAGGAAAGTTCTTAAGTATGGTGGACAGTCTGTGGTTCTATGGGCCCTGAGAAACTTGCTAAAGTTCTTGGTGTCTTGAATTCTTGAAGCACTTTCTGGTGGCCTCTGCGAGAAATGTCAACCAAATCAAGTCAACAAAAATGGTGAAAAAAATGGGTGTTTTGGAAATTAAATGTTTATTTATTACGATCAAGTAAAATGTCAGAGAAAAAAAAATTATATCAAGAATTAAGAAGAAAACAACAAAAAAAGAGTTAAACATATGAACAAAATTTTCATATCCAGTTTGAAAAAATGTAGGAAGAAAATTAGTTTCAGTGTGAATTTATTCTATGGCAATGATACTAATTTATTTTTAAGTATTTCTATTTTTCTTTTCTACACTTTTTTACCATGACTGCCAATAAAAGTTTCCAGCACTTTATATTGCAGTGTTGTCAATAAATTGATTATAGAGAGGTGCTTACAAAATGCTTTAATATTATTTTTCTCATTATTATAATACTAGAGTTCATTGCTCTATTTTCTTTTTGAATGATCATTTATGTTGTTGGTTTTCTGTCCAGGCCCACCCACTCTCCTGCACCAATCAGAAGGAGACCCACATGGACTCATCGCCTATCTCTGGTATAGTCTGCAACCAGTAATTTCCATTTATTGCTAATTAATAACTGTTTATAAGTGAGAAGAGAGAGAATGAAATATTTTATTTACAAAAGGGATACACAATAAGCCGTGGCTCTTCCAGTCTCAGTTTTGAATGTGGGTTGGTCTTAAAAGTTATTAAGGGTGTTGCTCCCAGTGAGACAAAGACGGCAGTAATTTCTGCTTCCTCTTCCCAGCAGACCAGACAATGGCTTGGCTGAAATTGTCACAGAAGATGATTTTACATCTAAATCTGTCACATTCGCTTGATTCCTTATTTTTATGCTGTCATTTATTTGTATTTAAACGCATTTCTCTGTTCAGCCCCGCCCCCAGTCCTGCAACTTCCAGTCGGTGCATGAGCATTATCAGGACATGCAGAGCTCTCAAGGTAATTGTAAAACACATTCTCGCATAGACATATTTAGAGCAAGTTTCACTGCCTTTATGTTACCACTTAAACCACAGCCTGCCTAAAGATTTTTTGCCTCCCCGACAATAACTCAAACGTTTCGAGTTTGGCTAATTGTGTCTTTCCCATCAGGCGTGTGACTCATGGCCCGTTTTTTATTTTAACAGTCTCCCAACCAATGTTTTTTTGTTGATGGGAAAGGGGTAGAGCAGTGACCTCATGCGTGCTACGCTCTTTCATCGACTTGCTCACACAGTCAGACTGCCTTATAATCCAAATTGCTTTACTCACATTGGACTGACAATAAAAGCAGAGTGGAAAATCATTCAGGGTGCGAGACTGTACGTGGGTGTGGGATCATTCTGCTGGCTGATCTCAAGCGTCGCTCTTAATTTCTATTGTGCGGACCAAGATTGTGTATGTGCTTTGCTTTCAAATGAAATGACACTATTGACATTTTTCTTAGTTAACAATACCATTTTTTAAATTAAATTAGACCAAACTCTTCTTGTAGGGAAGTGAAATAGTTTTGGATAAATTTTAAGCTGCCTTTTTTTTTTATTCTGAACTTTACATACACAATTTTGTGTGTTTTTAGTAGAATCAGGGGCAACATGTTGATTTCAGAGGTGAAGGGGACAAAACAGTTAGCTTACATCTAGCGGAGGAGGGTGGGGTGAGGTTTTTAAAAAAAAGCCTGGACTTGCACTTGTTGGCCTATCAGATTATATTTACCCTATAAGCACTGTGAATTTCAAAATATGTATAGAATTAGCTTAGAGGCTTAAAGGCTATTTCTTACCATAATATGCATTTGGTCATGTTTATAAAGCCTAATTAGAAAACTGTGCTAAATGATTAATTAAATTTATCACATTGCTAATAGCCAGTGCTTCGCCTGTGAGTCTCCTATCTCTCTACTAGCATCTTTAGCATGTGAACAACTGTTTCACAATTATACTGTGGCTCAGGGGTAAAGATTGAAGCCCCTGTGAAACGCTTTTGACTCCTCTGGATTTAATAAAGAGCTATGATTTTACTATTCAATTTGTCCACCAACAAGATGGATATATAAAATCGCATTCGTAAGCCGAGGTTTTATTGTATTTTTCCCACAAACTAAATGGCATTTGTTTTAAAAAGGAGAAATATAAATGGGAACAACACAAGGTCTTCTGCCTACAACTTTCTTTGTTGATTTTCATTTTCGCTCCCTTGTAAATGGAGATTTGATACTTTTCCAAAGAGATTAGGTCATTTCTCCTTTCCTTTTGAAACAGTTGTTTTCTACATTAAATTGCTCACAATGGTGCGTTTATTACAACTCATTCAAGAAAGATGTGCCGTGTCTTTCGAAAAGGCTTTGCCTTAAAACCTGTTCACATTTTCACATCTCTGTATGGGAAGTCTGTTTTGCACAACATAGCGTTTTGCATGTTTCCCCTAAAAAGATGAAAAAGAGGCTTGTAGGAATATGAGGCCACACTTTGCAGATTTATATCTTAAAATTGTCTCTTCTGCCTTGCAGACAGCATCTTCCATGAGGACCTTTACTACAAGTCGGAGACCAGTCTTGATCTTACCTTCAGAAATGGGACTGTACCCAATGGAAGCATGTACAGCAGCCCAAGTTTGAGCTCCCTCAATCGTTCCCAGACGTTCATCCCCCCTTCGCCCATGTCGTCCAACCTCAGCATCCCGGGCAGTGAGCTCATGCGTCCGGACTACATCCCCAACCACCGCCATAGCGCCATCATCGCTCCGTCGTACAGGCCCACTCCTGAGTATGAAGCGGTCATGCGGCAGAATCGAAGGATTGTCCCCACTCATCACGACCTCCACAGCCAGTCACTGCGCAGTTTGAACATTAGCAATTCCTGTGCTTACCGTAAGCCAGAGGCTCTGGTGTACAGCCAGCCAGAAATGCGAGAGAGGGGCCCCTATCATGGCCCAGGACCCAACCCTGGACCTTACACTCCACAGGTAGAGCTAAACCCCAGATTAACTTTTTTCTTCACCGTTTTTCTAAGCCTTACCTTTTTCTAATCTGTAATAAATGTTGTTATTACAGATTAGCTACAGTAAGCCAGTGTCCCATGGACACCATTCGGGGGGCCCAGCCAACAGCCATGGTCCATGTCATTCGCCCTGCATTAACGGTGTTGGAGACAGCAGTGGAGAAGTTGGAACCTCAATCTCTCACACTGTTAGCACCCCAGAGCTTGCAAACACCAAACAGCAAGGAGCCAACATGGGAAATTATGCAGTCAATGCTAACATGCTAAGAAACCACATGTCAAGACCTCCACCACCTTATCCTTCTAGCTCTTTCCGCCCGGCGACCAGCACACCAGACCTGGCGAGCCATCGGCATCGCTGCATCGGAGGCAGCAGCCCAGAACTGGTCACCCGCATGGTGCAGCTCTCGGTCAAGACCTTCCAGCCAGACAGCTCGGCCGTGGTGCATCAGTCCCTGCAGGAAGTTAGTGAACCTTTAACTGCCGGCGCCAAGCACCGCTCTGCCCTGGACAAGAGGCATAGCATGGAGTTCATCAGCAGCATGAGGGGAGGCGGCATCGAAGGCTTGGTGATGAAGAGTATGAGCACGGCCCTTCATCGGAGGAATACTCTTAGGGAGCAAGTGATGCCATCTCAACCTCAGCCCCAACCGCAGCTGCCACCTCAGCAGCCAAAGGAGCTTCCCATGCAGAAACCTTCCCAAAATGCACCTGAGGCTGCAGTGGCGCCTCCTACCGGAGTGGCTTACCAGCATCAAAAGACTCTTTCCAATGCCACCATGCTCATACACAGCAGTGAGAGTGAGGAGGAAGAGGAAGAGGAGAGGCCTGAGCTGGATGTTCAGATTCCAGGCCTCAACGACATCAGCATCAGCGCTCAGCTCCAGGCGGCTCTTGCTAAACTGCCTAACAAACCCCCTCCAGAGTACCCAGGCCCTCCTCGAACTAATGCCAGCTCTCAGATCCGTGGGGCCAGTCACAGCGCCGCGCACCACCATAACCACGACCAGACGCCGCACTGCAATCAAGGACCTATGGACCTGACTCTGACACAAGGTGTCGGTGGACCTGTGGCTGGGAGTGGCGCTGGTGGGGGCGGGACGTTGACCAGAGGGGATCAGAGCGGGGTAAACGGAGCAGTGTTGGGGCCGTCCATTTCAGAACCAGACCTGACCAGCGTGAAGGAGAGGGTGAGGAAGGAGCCGGTGAAAGAGAGGCCGGTGTCCGAGATGTTCTCTTTGGAAGACAGCATAGTGGAAAGGGAGATTGCTCAAAGGGTAAGAACGTTTTCACTTTTTCTCACATTTCAATCACAGCTAATGTATTTCATTTGGATTTCATGTGTGAGGCAAAAACAATGTGGATCATTGTGGAGGAAATATTTTCAGTTTCCATGATTATTTGTGCATGTTTTGTGCATTTGTATTCAGCCTAATTGGGTCACTTACAGCTGTAAGGTCTGAAATCTTTGTCCATTCTGCAAAAAGTTCAAGTTTGATCAGATATGCTACAGATTCTCATTTGAATATATGGTTGGCTTATTCTAAAAGTTTTAGAATAAGCTTTTAGAATATTAGAATATTAGAATATACTTATTCTAATAAGTTTTAGAATAAACTTCTAGAATGCAGTTTTTTTTTTTGCAAAAACTGCAAAAAAACTTTTGCAGTTTTTGTGGACTGAGGAGGTCATTATTCAAGAAAGTAATGTTTTGCCTCTGTTGGGTTTTTCTATGGGTTAACTGACAGTATCATTTAGAGTTATGCTTTCAGATCCTTCATCTTCCACAAAAATGCAAATAATTTGTATTTATGTGTTATTGTGTCTCATTATATTTGCATTTCCAATTGTACTTAGTTTTTGTTATTTAGACACAGAATCGCCTTTAATTGGTCAAATGAGCCTGTCCTGGTACAGATGTTAAATGATATCATCTGTTGTTTATTTGCTGATCTCACAGCTTTTCATTAGCAGTAATGTAGGTTTCAGCACATAACAAGGCAGTACTGGCCTTTGAATCCCCGCAGGCAGCCTAAAGCCCTTACAAATCCCTTAGATTATTTTTCAAGTGGGGCGTTCTCGACACAACGCCTGAATCCTGGAATAGATTTAATCACCTGTTGGTGACAAACCATTCTCTGTACGACTGACCTGGATGCAGGTTTAGTTTGAAATTCTCTCTAAAAGGCTTTACTCCTGTCGGAAGCTGATGGCACATATATCTACCTACTGACTTATTTGATATGTAGCGGTATCCAACCCCCCCAGACCCTCAAGCTGTTGTTTTGACTGTCCCACAGAGGATGAAGGAGGCGGGGCTGCCTTGATGGCTTAACAGTGTTGCAGATTAGGCAAAGTAATCCTTGGTGGAAGGAGGGACTGAGGAATGTTGCTCAGAGTTTGACAAAAGTGGATGAGCTCCTTGTAAGAAAGGAAGCTTCAGAGGTAGGTGGATAAAATAAAGAGGAGCAGACGTTTAAAAGTGTGTTAGTAAAAATAAATATGGGCAAAAGAAAACGGAACACATGACTGTTACTGCAAGTTTCGATCCCTGGACTGGCATTAAAATCTCCATCCCCAGTTCTGTTCGTACTCATGTGGAGACTCGGGTCACTTGCCTTTGCTGCCAGTAACCATGACACCTGGATTTTCCTCTCTCTTGAAGACGCTGGAAAGACAGAAGATGTCTGTGGATTCCATGCGGAGACCGCTGATGATGGCGGCGCTAAACGGCCTTTATGTGGCGAGGATGCCCGTCGCCAAGATTCAGACTGAGGAAGGAGCCAAGTCGACGTCAGACGAACGGGTAAAATCTCTGTTTTCATCAAAACATTGTGATGCGTCTTGAAGAATTAGAATGAACTCCAACAAGATGATTGGCAGCTGATGTCACAAAACTACATTCTTGTTTTATTGTTATTACTTTGCAGGAAAACTTACTCTGCCTGTGTGCTTACCTGGGAAACCAAATATTTGTGTATTCCTTTAAAATCTCAGTCATGCAAATATTTATTTAGAAGAAATAACAAACTAACATCAAACTCATTCAGCCAATTATGGAGAGAGCCAAGCCCAATTTCAAGCATTTTCTAAATTTTTTGTAAAGCTTTAGTTCACCATGACTCTAAAATTTCAACTTGTTATTGTGTTTGCTCCATTTTTGATTTGGAGGGCTGTGAAAGCCAGTTTTTGTCCCAGGCTGTTGCCAGGCTAACGGGGGCAATCCCCTGAGTGGGCTGTGGAACGCGTGGCACGGTGCAGCTTATCGTCTCTGGGCTGGCTGCTATGTAAAGAATGTGACCCGGCAGAGTGTGAGCAAGAAAAAAAGAAAGAAAAGATTTTCTGTTCTCGCAGACATGACCAGCCTAATAAACAAATAGGCTAAGATAGGCTACTAATGAACGCTGTAGACTTCTACTTTGATTTCAGCAGTGGCAATGCACAGTGTTTGAAGTTCTCCCATACCAAAGGTCTTGCTCCAAAATGCTCAGGACTTAACAGCCTCTTGTTATGAATGGCTTGTAAGAGGGTAACCTGACCTCTCCCCTCTGATCATCTTCAGTGTGAAACCTTAGAACTGAAGCTGGAGGAGGACAGGGTCTTCACAGAGTATGAGCAGGTGCCCAAGAAGAGGACCGACTGCCTTCTCACCACCGCAACGCTGCCCGAAAACGCAGAGCGCAATCGATTCCGTGATGTTGTCCCGTATGAGGAGAACCGGGTCGAACTGGTACCCAACAAAGAGAACAACACGGGATACATTAATGCCTCGCATATCAAGGTGCGTTCAGTGCATCAATGGTAGATGATGGGGAAATGGTTTTACGGAAGATTGCAGCAGCCTAACCTAACCTTCATGTGACACCACCGTCACAAAAAGATTCCCCATCTGATGGAAATCCCTTATTCTCAGTGCAAAAGTAAAAAAAACAACAAAAAACATTTTCTGCAACTCAGCATAAAGTTTACTATTTCATTATTTTCACATTCTTCAAGTTTTACTTGTCTTAATTATAAAAATATAGTTTAAGCATTTATTAAGAACAAATTTTTTTTAAAATATGTTTTTGACACGTCATCTTCCATATGCTTGAGACAGGTTTTCAGATTTTTCACATTTTAAACATGTTTTTTAAAATTACATAAATGTTTTTAAAATGAAATCTAGTTTCATTTTAATTATTTATTTAATCTTAATAGTTTATCTTATTTTATTAATAATTAGTTTAATTTATCATATTGTTTTTATTTCACTTTCTGTCTGACTTTCTTATTTGTGTTTTTATCTGATTCTATTCATTGTTTATTAATTATCATACTCACATACTGCTGTAGCAGGCAAAGCCATCTGACAGAAATCAGAACTTTCCAAAAAGTTCTGAAGTGTTGAGTTGTTTCTGTGTGAGCCGTTTTGTCCTGCTTTTGCTCAGAAAGGCTGTGTGGTGGCACATTATGTGTTTGCTTTGAGAACAAGAGATCCTGCATTTGAGTTTTTTAGTTTTTGTTATAAACAAATTAACACAAATCCACAGAATAAAAATTGTGGATTTAGAAAAACAAAAATCAAGTTTATCTGTGTAACTTTTCAGATAACAAAGTCAAGCCCCTTTGCAGCACTCACATCATACGTCCTATACAAAATAAATACTAAAGTGAATTAGTTTTCTTTGATCAGTCAGGTTTTATTTAGGAGAAAAGTGTGAAAAGCAGTCATTGCTTTCAGAACTTTAATCCCTCCAAGTTCTTGGAATTACAAAAGAATGTTGTCCAAACTCCAAACATCTTAAGCGACTCATTTTTTTTCAAAGCTGAGAAAATTAAACTCAGTGTAGACAGCAAATTGTAGGACACAATCGTTTGTTTTATTTAAATATGCCTAATCAAAGGTGCGCCTTCGTAACCTCTGACCTCTCTACTCGTATAAATGATTCTATGCTAAATCACGAGGTTGCTTGAAGAATCATGCTTGTTATGCAACAGCGCTGCACGCTGGAATTTTCATAAGATTACAATTTTGCTTTTGCTTTGTGTCTCATTTTATCATCAGTAAAGGAATGAACAAGAATATAAGATAAATAAAAAAAGACCTTGCGTTTGAATTTTACCTCCTTATACTGCATATATGTTATTATATGGTACATAAGGAAACTGTCAGTACATTTCACATGTCTGCCAATTAAGGGTGTTCAATTTATTCTAATCTAAATAAAAATTTAAAGACATTGAAATGTATTAGTTTCGTTTCAACATTCTGTTGTTGTTCCCAGGTCTTGATCAGAGGGGAGGAGTGGCACTACATTGCCACGCAAGGCCCACTGGCCAACACCTGCGGTGACTTTTGGCAGATGATCTGGGAGCAGGGCGTCAACGTCATCGCTATGGTTACAGCAGAGGAGGTAAAAACCCATTAAACATTGAGTTTTTTTTTTTTTTTCTTTTTTCATTTTTCTAAAATCTTCAATATATTTTATTGGTATTTTTTGTGATAGATTGACATAAAAAATTGAACAACTGTAAAATAGAAGAAGGAGGTGATGAAGATGTTTAGTTTTACTAATTTAAATCTTAAAAATATATATATATATATATATATATATATTTTGTTGCAAATTAGCTCAAGTTGGCCAGTCAGTCATATTGGATGGAAAATACCAATTTTCAAGTCTCGACACAGATTCCCAACTGAATTTAAGGACAAGTCTAAATAAACTATTTAAGTTGTGTTTAGTCTTTATCCTGCTATAGGATGGAGTTGCTGCCCAGTAAAATCCTTTGCAGTTTTTAGCAGGTTTTTCTCGCTTTTCATTTCGTTTCATCCATTTTCATTTTGTTTTCGAAGGCATCATGATCCCTTCAAAAACATTGTTTTGAAGTGCACAACTAACAGCTGTCTTGTTGACAGATTGTCCCACATGTCTCTGCCAACCCTCCAGATTCACGTCTTTTGACTGCTGTTGTGGTCAATTTATTTATTTTAATCTAGTCTAAAATCATGTCCACTTCAAGCTTCACTTATTATTTGCCATTGACAAGAATATTATTATATTATCAATGTATTAGTTTTGTGTTTTTATTTATTCAGCATTATGTTTGTTGACTTGTGCAAGAAAAGGCTACAAATGACTGTAGTAAATAATTAATACACTATTTTTATCAATCTTTCTCCCAGGAGGGCGGCAGGTCCAAGAGTCACCGTTACTGGCCCAAACTGGGCTCCAAACACAACTCTGCCACCTACGGCAAGTTCAAGGTGACCACCAAGTTTCGCACAGAGTACAACTCCTACGCCACCACGGGTCTGAAGGTCAAACACCTGCTGTCCGGCCAGGAGAGGACGGTTTGGCACCTGCAGTACACCGACTGGCCTGAGCAGGGCTGTCCTGAATATGTTCCTGGTTTTCTCTGTGAGAGCACTTGTCTTATTGTCAATAGTTACACTAATCGATGTCTGAAGACACCACCTACCAGAACGCCCATCTTTTTCTTTCTTTTTTTCCCAGCCTACTTGGAGCAGATTCAATCTGTGAGGAGGCACACCAACACCATGCTGGATACCTCAAAGAGCCTTAATCCTCCAGTGGTGGTGCATTGCAGTGCCGGCGTGGGTCGTACCGGTGTGGTGATCCTGGCTGAGCTTATGATCAGCTGCCTGGAGCACAATGAGGTGTGTAGATGATGGCTGTAACTAAGCTGCGGTCAGGTGGAAATAAACCTGTGGTATGAGTCACCAAGGAAAACATTTAAAAATACGAGGGGCGTCAGAAAAATTAATGTGTCTTTTATGTATCTCTTTTTTATGACTAACATCCACCTCCATCGTCTTTGTTTCCTTTTAGCCAGTGGAAGTTCCCACCATGTTGTCAGAGCTGAGACATCAGAGGATGCTGATGGTGCAGACCATCTCCCAGTACAAGTTTGTCTACCAGGTGCTCATCCAGTTCCTCAAGAACTCGCGCCTGATCTGAGCTGGACTTCTCAGTGTTCAACTAGACGATAAGATCGGTACTTCCCAGTTAGATCTAGAAAGCTGATGAGTAGAAGATATTGAGCTTTCTACTAAGCAGTTTGTGTACATTTTACTGGAGTTTACAACAAACTCCTCTCAAAAAGTGTAAAAGAAAAGACCCCAAAATTAACCACTTTTCCATGTTGTATTCAGATTTAGCTCTTTGTTTTTCTCATTGCATATTAATTCTGTTGTTTTTCCTATTGACCATACATGTAAGTGCGTTGTCTCCATGTAGGTCAGGTGAACAGGCAGCTTGTTGCTGTGAGCGTGAATGTGGGAGGTTTCCTGCCTGCTACATGTTTTTACAACAATCTTAAAGCCAGTGTTAGGACCTGCAATATGCTGCATGAACAGCAGGTTGCAGCAGTATTACTGCTCTAAACTACACCTTTACTCTGGTTTGCCAAAATGAGTGTAAGTGTTCATTTGTTTTCAACACAATAATGATTAATGCAGCAATTTTTTACTTCAATATTGTAACAAGTGTTTTTATTTATTTCTATGAAAACTGTGGTCACCTTCACTTTTACCATTGGTGGACATGCTGTTCTTCTGAACTTGTCTTAACCTTTTCTTTGTTCTGCTTTTGGTGAAATTTTCATGCGATTTCTTCAATTTTCATGTGAAGATTCGCCAACTAAGACGTTTTGTGCGAGCTTAAGCAAACACAAGAACATTTCAGAAATAATATATTGTGTTATGTTACACATTTCAAACCTTTATAGTGCTTAAATTGAAGATAATTAATGGTTATACAACTGTGCCTTACTGAAATGGAATTTGTTGATTTCTTAAAAAAAGAAAATAAAATTTGATATTTAATTTGTTGCTTCAAAATTTATATCATGTTGCTTTTCTACTCTGAACAAAATGAAAGGCCAAGAGTAGAAAAATTGATACTTATGAAACCCTAAACCCATATGTTTCTGCTTTTCTGAGTTGTACCTAAGCTAACTATTATGCTGTACAAAACAGTCATGTCCAAATGTTTTATATAGTTTGCTTTTATCGACTTGGTAACTTTAAAATACCGAAACATAAACTATGCATGCATTTTTACATTTTAATGTATATATTTTAGTATGTAATCTCAGATATGTATAAGCTTTATAAAATTTTGACATTCAAGGGTTTTTTTTTTTGTTGCACTTCTTTTCTATTCAACAGTATTTTTGTCACTTCATTCCAGTTTGTTTTATATTTAATTTTTGCCCCACGTTTCGTTCTTTTGTTTTGGCAAGAAAACCTTCAAAATATGCTTCAAATTATATGTACATATGTTTCTGAATATGCATTTTCAGTGCATTAAGTTTTGTTTTCTCTCCCCAGACATGTATTGAGCTGTTGTACTTGCTTATTATGCAATAAAAGCATTATTTTCTTTAATTTCTGAGGCCCTGAATTGAACCTGCTTTCTTTGTCACATTATTTGAGTTTTATTTCTGATGAATAAAATCTGAAATATTAATCAGAAATAGTTTTTCTGATTAATATTTGATAGGGGGGGAAAAAAGAAAAGAAATGGTGAGACATTCATTCTTGGACTTGTAAACATGTACAAAGTATAAATTTGTAATTCCAGACAAAACACGATTGGTTGGTGTTTCCTTGCTTTGCACAGCAACTGCTCCATTTGTGTTTCTTTTTAAAATTACATATAAATAACTTAAAATGTATTCAATTTAACCATTACGTAAAAAGTAATAAAGAAATATCAAGAAATTTAAAATAAAGTTCAAAGGAAGAGAGAAAGTGACATTTAAATAATGTGTATTTTGCCAGGAGGTGTTCATATGTTTACTTTTACACATACTTTCACAATCTGTTCCATAATAAATTGACTTTGATTTGAAAATGTTCGGTATTTTTCAGGTCTTCAAAGGTGTATGCACCCTTCTAATATTTAGCGATTTTTTTCCAGGAGAGCATCAGTGAGGAGAGGCACTGATGTCTGAAAGTCCTGTATTGATTCATTGTCTAATTTATTGTAAAGGTGCTTGGCAGAGATCAGGAGTTTATGCTGACTACACAAAACTCACTTTTCAGTATGCACGCCCAAGTGCTTGTAGCCTTGGGAACGATTGAAACACCTCCATCGATTTAAAGTCTGAGTGAATACATGTGGAAATAGTGTCTTTGCCACTACTAATATTGATGTTAACTTCTTTTCTTTTTTTTACAGTAAAGAAATAATCACAAAAAAGTCACACCAGTAAGAGTCACTTTAGTGAAATAAATGTAGTAAAAAACAATTTCACTCCATAACATGGTATGCAACTTCACATAGCTGCATGAGACCAAATGTTCATATAGTGTTTTGGAAAAATCCTTCCTCCTTCATGAGCAAAGTAAGAAAGAAATCTCACAGTCCTGTGAAGCTCGGATCAGATCAGTCCCAATGTTGTCTTCACTTTTGTCCAATCTCTTTACGTAAGTCTTTGAGGAAAGGGTGATTTTTTCCATGAGCCACCTCCATTATAGCCATTGCCTATCCAATAAACAAAATATCTGTTTAAAGTAATTCACGTAGTTTCCACAGATGTATATTTGTGACAGCTAAAGTCAGCAAATTTCCAGCTGCATTTTCTTTGTGTCGGTGTTAATTTAGACAACAAAACATCCTTATCGCATTTCTTGTCAACAAAACCTTTTTCCCTCAAATCAAAACATTCAGGTTAAACAACACAAACACTGACATACGCTGACTGTAACCGATAAAATGAGACAAAAATACTGATGGTAAATATATCAATCAAATCTGGGACCAAATCTAAATGCCCCGACAAACTTCACACTGCTTTGTGCAAACATCGCACTTACCGGTACTATTTAACTCATTGTCTTATGAGAAGAAAACAACACAAAATGCCACTTTGTGCAGAGTTTAAATAAATCCATCTTACCTTCTTGAGAGCACTGATGCCCTCTGAGTTCCTGTCCATATTTATATAGATTCTGCCCATCTTCAGGTACATCGAGGACACATTCAGCGAGTAGGGGGGATAAAGTTTGCTGCATCAAAGAAATCATGTACACCAAATTTACTGAAATGATCAAATAAGCTAAGGGAAATCATCTTTTAGCATATTCATTAATTTAAATGATAGAAAAAAATACTCTTGTGGCCAGGTCTAAAAGAACTGGAATAAATTCTGAAGAAATATTTAAACTTGAAGCAAAAGTCTGTAATCCTTTAATTTAGATTATGAATGTTCTTAAAAAAACAACAACAAACAAACAAAAAGAAGGTCTTATACTTTAAGAGAAGTATATATTTTATGTACATTTTCTGATATACAGAAAGTATTTATTTCCTACAAGAGTAAAAAAAAAACAACTACCAAATAAGCAAAAGCACAAAACCCCTCCTCAACTCATCTTAAAATCCTACTTGTAGTCTAAAACAAAAATGTAAATGTTTAGATTATTACAATAATTTGAATTTGAGTGTAGCTAATAAAAACCAGAACACTTGAAAACTATGTTTTGTCAGATTAAAAGTAAATTCAGACTACAAAGCTTCATATATTTATTTAGTAATCCAACATAAAAGTACCTATAAGTGTGAATTCATTGGTTAAGGAAACATGCATTTCAAAGATTTTAGCCTCTAAATTTGCAAAAATGAAAGAGACTAAATTGAATTCAACAAAGAATTGCTTTGAGGTTGAACATAAACCTGGCAATGCTTTAAATTTTCAATTGTAACATTTAAAAAAAAAAACTATGCATAATTTTCCTTCCTCTTCACATTTTGAGATCAATTTGTTTTGGTTGCAGTGCAACAAAAAGCTCGAAAAGCATGGATACTTTTTCAAGACAGTCCAAAAAAAAGTACCCCTGCAGGTAAATGGTTTAATTGAATGATTGTAATGTTAATTTAATCATTCACATTTTTAAACAAGAAAACAAAATAGTTCAAACAAAACTGTACCAATCAGCACAGCGTATTATCACCTCTACACTGTGTGTATTTTGGCACCTGTAAGGTTTGAGGATCTTCTCGCCGAATCTGATTGCTCCATCTGCGTCCTGCATGTAAATACAAACCCCCATGGCCTGGTACATCATGTGGAGCATGTAGACGTTGGAGTCATCAAAGACCGCTCCCATTTTCTCCAGGCTCTGCTCACACATGTCCAACAACTCACTAGGAGGTGCTACTGAGTCAAGGATGCATACATGCAAGAGTTTTTGAAAGGTTTTGTTTAGCCATTTTAAAGGAAGACGTCCATTACTCATTTGTGAATATTATCAAGGATAACATTAGCTATTAATTCAGGTGGTAAGCTTTTAAGATGCATGGCAATGGAAATTGATATATTTATTATTTAAAAGATAATAATGCTTCTTTGCTGAAAAGATATTTTTGACATGTTTTAGGGCCCTGAATTCCCTGACAGTGTTCCTGGCGTAGCGGATCATGTTGTTGACCACATGTGGCTCAAATGGTTCTCTCTGCTTGCAAATTTTCAACTTTGCCTTATCCTGTGGATGAAACATGTCAGAAAAACATCATATAATTAACAAGGCACAAACGACATCCATCTATGGTGCTCTTCACATTGTTAGTTAATACTTGGTAAATATATTATGAGTATTTTAACAAATCATTACCAGAGGTACCAATAAACGTGGAGGGGGCTGAAATTTTACTTTGCATTTACTTTTCCTAGTGTCTTACTTTGGACTTGGTTTTGCATTCCAAGCAGTCACAGGTGAAGTAATAGCATTCCCTCAGCCTGTTGTTTCGATCATCTGTTGGATAAAGGAGGTCTATGTAGCTGATGAGAACCTAGTGGAGATTTAACACACACATTTACCACAGAGCATGTTCTCTGTCCTTGAAATTATACTCATTATTTGCTGCCCTCTTTGCACCTACAAATATAACATTATGAACTGAAACATACAAGACTTTCATCCTGCTGCCTTGAAAAACTTGTGAGTGAATTTCTACATACCTGGCTGGATATTGTCTGGAACATAAGTTTTTTTTTTTTTTTTTAAAGATATGACTAAAATTCTGCTCCACCACTTCTTAGACATATTGTACATCTAAATGCTAAATCATTAACCACATTAAGGTTAATGATTTAATTATTTGTCAATTATTGTAAGAAAGTAGCAGAAAGAAACTTTTAAAGTCATTGTCATCATTGGATTTTCCTGGAAACGTTCCAGTTGATCAGCTCAAACTCTTTCACTCAACTTAAGTCTATAACATGGTTCATACTACAAGCCATTAAAAAAACAAGCATTCCCCACACACTTGATGCAAAACTAGAACTGGATGTGACCTCCTTTAGTGGCATTCACGCCTTTTCCTCACTTCATCTCCAGGTTTCATGTCCTGCACCGCCCGGACTTCCGCCGACGTGCCGTTATATGTTACTATGACGCTGGGAAGACAGCTGTGGTTTATAAGTGCCACACTGTGGGAGGAAAAACAGGTTGTTAATAACAGCTTTAATTTGAATAAAACATATTTATTTAACATTGATCACTGTAATAACATGATTAATTGATAAGATCTATTGTTTTAACTCTGTAGAGAGGTTCTTGACTGGGAAGAAGCACACAAATGCCTCCAAACTACATTCATAAGTCACTCAGAGACAAAAAAAAAAGTCTGTGAGTTCTAATGCATAATGTAACAGATGGAAAAGAATCCCTGTGTTGTATATATGGATGAGAAGAAAAGAGTGAGCATGGGTCCAAAGGGCTTTTGGAGAATTAATAGTTAATTTCAATAGTCATTGTGACTTCTAATTGCACTTATTGCTGCAGTGACGTGTAGTGATGTTCATCCCTTTATGACGCTGATAAGCTTGTGAGACATGCATGGTGTTTTCTCCTCCTCAAGGAGGCTGAACAACTGTAGCTCTAAGAGTACATTACAGTCATGTTTTGGTTGATGCTAAAATTAGATTTTTACAGATTTCAAGGCAGTAATGTTGATGTTTTTCTGAAGATACTGGAGTGGAAAAAATGTTGTTGTTTTTCTGAAGATACTGGAGTGGTTTTCCACCATGTAACAAGCACAAGACCAACAAACCTAATTCAGCAATAGTCTCTCCAGTTTTGCCATTGTATTTTTTCACAGGTATACTATGTTACAACTGCATTTCATGCTCATTAGCATGCATATGAGGCATTCTTCTTACTCTGGATAGACTGCAGTACCAATGTCATCATCAGTTCATCATCTTCTATTGTAAAACCATTACAGGCGACCTGTTAAATACAGACGGTTGGAATAAATGAAAAATTAGAAAAACGCAATCTGCTCGCCTAAACCAGTAAAACATAAGAAATAAGTCTTTGTGGTACCTGGGAGTAGAGCGTAAGCAGGTCTTTGTGGTCAGGCAACTCCAAATGTTTAG